TTTTGGAGCTTGACATTAATCCACTGGTGGTCATTAGATTGACACAGGAAAAAAAAAAGGTTTGCATCTCTAAAATATTCATAGGCATACCAAACGACTGAGGAGATGGGTGTAACACCCAGAAATCTTCAGCCAACATCATTGCTAAGAATTCTGGCAGCTCAAGTCCACACATCTGAAGGATGCTCGTGGAGGGGAAGGCTGAGGTAGCAGGAGGTAACCACAGAGGACTCCGTGCTGAGATGCTGCAAACCACACAGGAATCAGGCTAAAAACTGACAACCAACAACACCTTACATTTCAGTGGTTAACTGCAAACCGATTGTTGCAGATACAGAATCATAGCAGTTAACTGTACCCCTCTGGAGGACTGCTTCTTTTAGGCAAGTCTTACAAAAGGTTGTGTAATGGACTGCAAAACAGTGAAATGTTTTGCAATCCATCTGCAACAGAATCAACGCAAGGGCAGAACTGTTTTATGCATGCAAACCTTTTGAGTAGCACTTAAGATTTTGGGGGAGGGTGCAAGGGCTGCAACAGAAAAGCCGATGGTGCACAGCAGTTAAGACCATGTCACAGGTAGGGATGCAGCCAGTTTTAGCTGTCAAGCTTATACGTACCATATTCGATTTACTTTACCATGTTCGTACTATGTACACTTGGCATAATTTAGTTTGCTTTTTCTGACACACGGGGGGGGGGGGGAAACAAAGAGTTTCTGAGATTCTTGCACCACCCAGTTACAGCTGTGAGTCATATTGCAAACTGCAACATTCAGAACGGTTACAAAAAAAAAAAACCCCTTAAAATGTACAATCTCACATACACAAAAAAATAATAAAAAGGTTATGTCTAGTGATCGGGCACATTTTTGTGATCCAGATATTCTGGCAGTACTTCAACATTTTTTTCGCAAGCCATTCAACTTTCCACTTGTATTTATTCTGACAGCTCTATATTCATGTTAAAACATTTGTAAAGTTGGGAGACATTAACAATAACAGAAAATCTGGTTAAAGGTTACTTGCAATTTAACTGCAGCAGAATATTACATATCTGTGTTCTACCCTACTGTATTTGCCCAGATAAAGCTTCGCTATTCAGAATAATCAAATCCTACTCTGATAATAACCTTATTGAAAGAATTGTTTTTCAGTAATAAAAAAATCAAAAATAATTCTACAAGATATGAGTTTGGCCATTTTTCACAGTGCCACAAAAGTGGCATTTCTTTTCCTAGATGCAATCCAAGACAAGGCCTCATATTAAAGTACAACAATCTTCACTTAACTTTTATTTTATTTACTCATTATATTTAGAAACTGCCCATCTTCCTCTAGTGATATACAAATAGACATCAGTACTGTACAGTACTGTATAGTCAAGGCTATGGTTTTTCCAGTTGCAATCTATGGCTGCGAAAGTTGAACCATAAGAAAGGCTGAGCGCCAAAGAATTGAAGCCTTTGAACTATGGTGCTGGAGAAGACTCCTGCGAGTCCCCTGGACTGCAAGGCAATCAAACTGATCAGTCCTGGAGGAGATCAACCCTGACTGCTCTTTAGAAGGCCAGATCCTGAAGTTGAAACTCAAGTACTTTGGCCACCTAATTAGTTTACAAAGCAGAAAACTACTAAAGGAATTTTAACATCTTCTAGCTACCATCTGTAAAATAAAGACTTGGCTCAGAGAACTTAAATATGAGCCAGCAGTGTGCTGCAGCTGCCAAAAAAGCCAACACAGTGCTAGGCTGCATTAACAGAGGGATAGAATCAAGATCACGTGAAGTATTAATACTGCTTTACAATGCCTTGGTAAGACCACACTTGGAATACTGCATCCAGTTTTGGTCACCACGATGTAAAAAAGATATTGAGACTCTAGAAAGAGTACAGAGAAGAGCAACAAAGATGATTAGGGGACTGGAGGCTAAAACATATAAGGAACGGTTGCTGGAATTGGGTATGTCTAGTTTAACGAAGAGAAGGACGAGGGGGGACATGATAGCAGTGTTCCAATATCTCAGGAGCTGCCTCAAAGAAGAGGGAGTCAAGCTATTCTCCAAAGCGCCTGAAGGCAGGACAAGAAGCAACGGGTGGAAATTAAACAAAGAGAGAAGCAACCTAGAACTAAGGAGACATTTCTTGACAGCTAGAACAATTAATTGGTGGAACAACCTGCCTCCAGAAGCAGTGAATGCTCCAACACTGGAAGTTTTTAAAAAGAGACTGGACAGCCATTTGTCTGAAATGATATAGGGTTTCCTGCCTGAGCATGGGGTTGGACTAGATGATCTCAAAGATACCTTCCAACTTTGATTATGATTATGATTGTGATTATATTATTATATTATGATTATAATTATAATTATGATTATTAACTATTCGTTGCTCCAGAATATAATTACTAACAACAACACCTAAAATTACAGGTGGTCCTTGACTTACGACTACAACTGCGCTCAAAATTTCATTGCTAAACAAGACAGTTGTTGAGTTTTGCCCCATCTTATGAGTTTCTTGCCCCAGTTGTTAAGTGAATCATTGCAGTTGTTAAGTGAATCTGGCTTCTCTGTTAATTTTGCTTGTCAGAAGTTCACAAAAGGTGATCACATGACCCCGGAACACTGCAAAATGGTCATAAATAGGAACCAGTTGCCAAGCGTCCGAATTTTGATCATGTGATGGGGTCATGCTGCAATGGTCTTGAGTGTGAAAAATGGTCACCTTTTTTCAGTAATGTAGAAACGTCAAATGGTCACTAAACAAATGGCTGTGAGTCAAGGGCTATCTGCGTAGCAACAATTCCTGACTCACAGTTGGTGTAAAAGCATGTTTTCACATGTACTAGCTGAACTGGCAGATGTAAACACCCAGACCGATTTGACTGGATCCCTTTCATCCACAGTGAGCAACAGAAAGCAAACACATTAGCAAATATTTCCCCAAAATTCTCATTGAAATTTAATGCGTTTACATTTCTTGGAGCCGATATCTTTCCTTAATGGAGAGTTGTGCATTTATTTTAGTACAGAAATAAATATGCAGAGTTAAACGGTTCCACAATGCTTTCACACTGCAATTTTCTCCAAGGAAACAAACTAAGTCGATGCAGTTCTTCCAAGTCAAAAGTGCAATTTAAAGAGGCAATTCATCTATTCTTAAGCAAGCCGGTGGGGCCTGATTTAAGAAGCCTTTTTAGCAATCAAACCCTGCCAGTATATTTACATTCCAAAATAAATTCCCTATAATAGAAACATGTGAAGCTATCCAAGGAAAATATCACACACAGGGTCTTATATCTTCTCATACTAACTCGCTCAAAAATATGAATCTAACCCAACTGCCTTTCTTTGAATGGAGATCTGTAGGAGAAGAGCAGACAGAGCGAGGGGGTGGAGTGAAGTGAGACATCAGTTTGGCATCGTTACATTGCCACAAACAGTTGAAGTTCAATCTGGCACCAATTCAACATTGAACTTTGATCGACTAGATTCTTGATGAGATCCATTACATGGGATCCAGATAATGGGCCAGAAGGAAGCAGCAATGTTTTATACAACTTGCATGGAGATTAATACTGAGAAATCTTCCCAACCGTCCCATGACTCGGACAACAGAAATCCTTGGGATTATCCATCTTTCCCATCTTCTTTCTTACCAGCTGTTCAGAAATGCAGGTAGTCTTCAATTACGACTGTAACTGAGCCCAAAATGTATGTTGTTAAGCGAGACAGCTGGTAAGTGAGTTTTGCTCCTTTTTCACGACTTTTCTTAACACCGTTGTTAAGTGAACCAGTGCAGTGGTTAAGTTAGTAACACGGTTGTAAAGTGAGTCTGACTTCCCCATTGACATTGCTTTGTCAGAGGGTTGCAGAAGGTGATCACATGACCCCCGGGACACCGTCATAAACATGAGCCAGTGGACAAAACTTCTGAATTTTGATCATGTGACCATGGGGATGATGCAAGGTTGTGTGAAAAAAAAAATGGTCATTTTCACACTTACGACCATTGCAGCATCCCCAGGGTCACGGGATCAAAATTCAGACGCTTGGCAACTGACTCATATTTATGACAGTTGCAGTGTCCCGGGGTCATGTGATCCCCTTTGGCGACCTTCTGACAGGCAAAATTACTGGGGAATTCAGATTCGCTAACAACCATGTCACTAACTTAACAAATACAGTGATTCACTTAACAATTCTGGCAAGAAAGGTCATAAAATGGGGCAAAACTCGCTTAACGAATGTTTCACTTAGCAACATTAATTTTCGGGCTCAGCTGTGCTCGTAAGTCCAGGACTACCTTTTATTATCAGATGGGATATGCAACCAGCCTTACTAGTTTGGGCTGAATGAATGCTCTTTAGAAGTCCAGATCCTGAAGTTGAAACTCAAGTACTTTGGCCACCTAATGAGAAGGAAGGACTCACTGGAGAAGAGCCTCATGCTGGGAAAGATGGAGGGCAAGAGAAGAATGGGATGACAGAGAATGAGGTGGCTGGATGGAGTCACTGAAGCAGGAGGCGTGAGCTTAAATGGACTCCAGAAGATGGTAGAGGACAGGAAGGCCTGGAGGAACGTTGTCCATGAGGTCACGATGGGTCGGACACATCTTCTCAACTAACAACAACAATAGAAGAAAAACCCTTCCCTCTTCTACAACCTACCAATCCTTAAAGGTAAGCAGATTACACTGAACGGTGACTGCCAGGAACTCTAACAATCATAGCCCACGGTAAGGAATTTCAGGAGCAGTTACTCAGGAACCCTTGAAAAGCCAGTTTTCTGTTCCTGTCTCAGGGAGTCTCTTGATCGTGCAACTAAGCCATTTTAGTTTGTTCAAAATCAGCTCATTCCACAATAGAGCACTGAAGCTAAGAAAGCCCAGGGAACCAATCATTAACATAAAAATGAAATAGCTGCAGAAATGTCTTATAAAAAAAATAAATAAACAAGCTTTGCAAATTAAACAAGGTGCACTTTTTTTGAATACTCACAGAATTAATTATCCCTCGGAGAGCTTGAAATCCTTCTCTTACTGGGAAGACTTGATCCTTTGAATCAGCAATGCTTTCAAGCTAGGGAAAGACGCACAAATACAACAGAGGTTTGTGCTACCACACAGACAGACGCAGATAGACATGCATGCACAAGATTTAGCAATGATTTAGAGCAGGGAAATGAATGGCTTAGAGAGAACCCACAGGTATACAGACAGAATCCTGTTTACTAGTCATAACTTTTCTTATTCCCGCTGCAAAACAAACTTAACACAACTTCAAGGAAGATTCCCAGTTATGAAAGGTCACCAAGGAAAAACAAGGAGTAGTTTCATATAGAGTATGGTTTTCACCGACTCTGCTGATTCTTTTCTTTAAAACCAAACTAATCATTATGTCATCGTTGTCTCCCACCAACCATTATTATCCAAAGCACCAGAGAGCAGCCAACCAAACAGAACAATCTTGAATGATCCAATTTAGCAGAAACAGGAGCTTCAGGCTAAGGGTCAAACTACATGTTACACTGAATGCATAACAGAGGGATGGGCTAGTCGTGGGTCACAAGCTATATGCCTCTTAGTTTGTGAGTGGGCCTAAGTGTGTATCCTGGAAACACCCCCCCCAATAAATCATACTTCTGAAATTTGGCAGCAATTCACACACACACAAAAATGACGGTAAGATTTTCCACCCATTTTAAGTGATATACAAAAATTGTGTGTAAGCTGCCAGGTATACCTCAACGTACCTGGAAAACAGGCGCCACCACCAGCCCAGAAAACGAATCCCAAAACACAAAATAGTTGCTGAAAAGATTCAGTGAAGAAAGAAATTTCTGCAGGATCCAATCTGAATCGGTCACTGGGACCAAACGTTTATTTTTCCAAGCTTTCAGTTTTATACTGGAGCCCATCTCTCTCTCTCCCTCTCTCTCTCTCTCCCTCCCTCCCTTTCCCTCTCTCTCCCTCTTTCCCTCTCTCTCTCCCTCTCTCCCTCCCTCTCTCTCTCCCTCTCTCCAGAATATGCACAGCAGACTATTCTATGCATTGTATTTGTATAATTCCTGGTTGTATGTAGCTTTTAGTTGTTAATTAGGATGTTAATGGCTGCCTACTACATTGTTGATTGTTGTTTCCTTGTGCCACTACGCCCTTGGCTCCTAAGTATCTGATAGGCTGGTGATAATTCAGCCCTCCTATTGACTGTCAAGGGGCCCATTTCCCAGACTTCAATCATCTGTCTGGCTATTTTTGACCCTGCTCGACCAACAATCATAGTAGTTGTGAAATTGAATGCACGTCCTTGTTCATTGCAATGTGAGGCTACCAATGAGTTTGGGTTTCTTCGTCCAAGGAAATTTCTCAAATAAGAAAGCACCTTTGCCAGATTTTTTTTTCATTTTGATATGCAGACAATCAAATTTCCAAGACAGGGGGTCCCTACCTGTTCTTGATTAAAATTGAGGACTCCAACGCAATAAACTCTAGCTCCCATGGACCTGGCATTTTTTGCCTGTAGCAGAGAGAATGGGGGGAGAAGATGAATTATGTCTACATTTGCCCAAAAAAATAACACATATGTGCAAATGTTGAACTCAACAGGAACTGCCGTTGCACTTCAACCCTCACCTCTTTTTCCGCATACAGTGGAATCAAGCCTTCCAACTTTCCATCTGTCAAGGCAATGATTACACTACTGGACCCTTTTGCTTTTGCAATCTGATCATTTGCCTGGAAAAACGAAAGAATTTGTGCTCTTACAATCGCATTTGGAAGTGGAGACGAGCAAGAAATGGAGCATAAAAATGGTGAATCATAGTGAGATAAGAGTTGATCAAGTTACACCCAAATTTTTATGTTTAATGTCAGCGTGAATGATATACAGCAAAGGTCCCCAAACTTTTGGACACCAGGGACTGGTTCCGTGGAGAGAGGTTTTTCCGTGGACTGGAGGGGGCGTGGTTTTGTGTGGTGCCTGCATCCCACAGATGGGGCTTCACTTGTTTGTGCGGATGGGTACTGGTCCACGGACCAGGGGTTGGGGACCCCTGATATACAGGAAGTTCTCAACTTACAACAGTTTGTTTAGTGATGGTTTGAAGTTACAATGGCACTGAAAAAAGTGACTTATGACGTTTTTTCACGCTTACAACTATTGTGGCATCCTCATCAAAATTCAAGATGCTTGGCAACTGACTCATATTTATGATGGTTGCAGTGTCCCGGTCACATGATCCTCTCTGGTGACTTTCTGACAAAGCAAAGCCAATGGGGAAGCCAGATTCACTTCACAACTGTGTTACTAGCTTAACAACTGCAGGGATTCACTTAACAAATGTGGTAAGAAAGGTTGTGAAATGAGGCAACACTCACTTAACAACTCTCTCACTTAGCAACACTGACTTTGCTTGTCAGAAGGTTGCAAAAGGGGATCACATGACCCCAGGACACTGCAACTGTCATGAATATGAGTCAGTTGCCAAGCATCCAAAATTTGATCATGTGACAGCAGGGATGCTACAAAAATAGTGTGAAAAATGGTCGTAAGTCACTTTTTCCAGTGCCGTTGCAACTTTGAACTGTCACCAAATAAATGGTTGTAAGTCAAGAACTACCAGTATTACTTTTATTATAGGATTACAATAACAGAATGTGCTTTCCCCCCTGCTTCACTGCACCGTATCTTTGTGAGAACCAGGGACAGTTCTCAAATTACATTTCTGCCAGGGACTCAAATTTCTTTTTTCTAACCAATGTCTTGGTTGTGGTTCTTCCTCCTGTTCCTTGGAGTTATTTTTACAGTCCGTTACAATATTGGACTGAATCCTTTTAACGAAGTGGTTTTCACTCCCATCGCTAAGACCACGATCCATTTGGGGAAAGCTTTTGCTTTTACTGTAGTCAGCAATGAAATCTTTCTTCAATTCACAGAGTGATTATTGTAGTTTCTTCTTAGTTAGGTGCCCTGGTAGAAGATGTCTTCTCCCAAAGGCATTAGGTCATAATTTTATCTTCCATTTCTAGATCCTGAAACAATCTGCTTAGTTCTTAGATCCAGTTTTGGTCACCACCGTATAAAAAAGATGTTGAGACTCTAGAAAGAGTGCAGAGAAGAGCAATAAAGAGGATTAGGAGACCAAAGGCTAAAACATATGAAGAACGGTTGAAGGAATTGGCTTTGTCTAGTTCAGTGGTTCTCAACCTTTCTAATGCCGCGACCCCATAATACAGTTCCCCATGTTGTGGTGACCCCCAACCACTTATACATCACCAGGTGCCAGGGACATGGCCAAAGAAAAGGGGGAAAAAATGGTGGACAGCCTTGTTTGGCGACCCCCGTGAAATGGTTGTTCGACCCCAAATGGGGTCCCGACCCACAGGTTGAGAACCACTGGTCTAGTTTAATGAAGAGAAGGACTAGGGGTGACATGATAGCAGTACTCCAATATCTGAGGGGCTGCCACAAAGAAGAGGGGGTCAACTTATAGTCTAAACCACCTGAAGGCAGAACAAGAAGCAACAGATGGAAAATAATCAAGGAGAGAAGCAACCTAGAACTAAGGAGAAACTTCCTGACAGAACAATTAACCAGTGGAACAACCTGCCTCCAGAAGCGGTGAATGCTCCAACACTGGAAGTTTTTAAGAAAATATTAGACAGCCATTTGTCTGAAATGATATAGGGTTTCCTACTTGAGCAAGGGGTTGGACTAGAAGACCTCCGAGGTCCCTTTCAACTCTGTTGTTCTGCTCTATGAGTCACAGTTCTTTGTGTGTTTATTCATGTGTGTATTTGTATTATTTGTAAAAGAGCTTTTCAGGGCAGAATCATCATCATCAGAATTCTTCTGGAGTGAAGCAAGTTAGAAATACTACCAATTTTTAAAAAAAAACTGCCAAAAAATGATTCAAAAAGTTGAAAGTTCTCGAACAGCAATGAACTACGCTGCATCTCCAATTGTAGAAAATGCAGGGAACTTACTTTTTCTAGTCCTTCGTGCATATACGTTTCACCTCCTGGCTTAACGTTTTGTAAATCTTCAATGCCTCTCTGAATTTTTTGCCTAAAAATAAGGGGGGGGGGAAATCATGAAAAAAAAACGTTTATTAAAGACACCAAAATTACTGGAATTAACTCAGCTCCTAGTAGCTTGAACAGATCATTGGAGACAAAAGATTTGTAAATACAGTTGTCCTCTAGTCAAAAGTATTCACTCCAGAATCCTAAAACGTCTTGCTTTCTACAGCTACACCTAACCAGATTCATTGTCCATGGTAAATCTGGCCTATAAGTGTCAGCTGTGAATAATCAGGACATGTTAAATTCCAGTTCAGAAGATTTATTGCTCAAGCCTGTACACAAGTATCTAGTCCAGTGATGGCGAACCTTTTAGAGACCGAGTGCCCCAAAACTGCCCCCCCATCCCCGACGCTGCTCCATCCCCCCCTCACCTGCCCCGAGGGTCACTCACCACCTCCAGCGCCCACCGCAATTCATCCTGGCAGCCGAGCAGCGCCATGGTGGCCACGTCCTCTGCCCGCGCCCCGCAGCATCAACTGTGCACGATGGGGCGTGAGGGCAGAGTTTTGTCTACGCTGCATGGCTGCCATGTCCTTGGCTGCACTGCTCCGTGTGGGCCATGCTCGGGGCTGCTGGTGAGGAAGGGCAAGGCTGGGGCAACGGCACGTGTGCCCACCAAGAGAGCTCCAAGTGCCGCCTCTGGCACCCATGCCATAGGTTCGCCACCACTGATCTAGTCAATTAAAGTTCAGTACTACATTGGTAGCAGATAAGGGTCAACCAAATGCCAGAGGGGTCGGACTTGGACCCTTTGTGGTAACGCAAGGATTCTAAGCTTATGACATGCTCAACTCCGCCCTCAGTTATGCCTGCCCTTCTCCTACTTCCTTAGCTATCTGTGTTCACTGTAATGCTAATGTTTATCATTTTAATGTTTTATATATATTGTGTTTAGGTTGTTGTAAGCGGCATAGAAATGTAAGATATAAATAAGATATAGAGAAATCTGCGGACTTCGGATTTCTGAATCGCTCTCCATTTCATCCCTCTCACCCACAGTTGAAAAAGTAGACTAAGAGGGGAGGGGGGGAAAAACCCCTTACACAATCCATTTAAATCTGCACTATCAGTTCTGGTTGCCACCGAAGACATGCTGTGCGCTATAGATGGCAGCTGAACAAGTTACATAAAGTCAATGCAATCTGTTTAATCCAAAATATTTTACACTCAGCGTCTATTGAAAACAACCTGAAACTGATTATGTACGAAGGCAGATTACAAAGCAGACGCTCTCTGGTTGCCAGGGGATGTCTGGCAGACTGTCCGCAGGCTCTGGCAGTTCTGCTGCCAAGAAACAAATGACAAATCAAGTTCCAGGGTTGCTTTCTTTTCTTTTTTTTCTTTTTTTCTTTTTTTTTTTCCAAACCAGATTTTGCAATGCAAAAAATAGCCCTCGTACAATCAGTTCGGTTTTATTTATCCAGCATAGAACCAAGACCTCCCAGCACTTTTTGACACCTGCAGCCCTATTTCAGCTGCGGAGCCCAACGGTTACAAAAAGAAAACACAGTGGCTTCCACAGAAAAAGAGGACATTACCATCTGGGTTGTAATATTCTAGAAGGGGAGGAAGGGGGGAGAGAGGAGGAAGAAAAGAAGGAGGACAGGGAGAGGAGGGGAACAGGGAGAGAAGGAGGAGGGGAGGAGGAGAGGAGGAGGAAATGTGGAAGAGGAGGAGGATAGGGAGATAAGGAGGAGAAAGAGGAGGACAAGGAGAGGAGGAGGACAGGGAGAGAAGAAGGAGGAAGACAGGGAGAGGGAGAGGAAGAGGAGGAGGACAGGGAGAGGAGGACAGGAGAGGAGGAGGACAGGAGAGGAGGAGGAGGAAGAAAACAGGGAGAGGAAGAGGAGGAGGAGGACAGGGAGAGGAGCACAGGGAGAAGAGGAGGAGGAATACAGGGAGAAGAGCATAGGGAGAGGAGGAGGAGGAAGACAGGGAGAGGAAGAGGAGGAGGACAGGGAGAGGAGCAAGGAAGAGGAGGCACAGGGAGAGGAGGAGAAGGACAAGGAGAGGAGGAGAAGAATAGGGAGAGAAGAAAGAGGAAGACAGGGAGAGGGAGAGGAAGAGGAGGACAGGGAGAGGAGGACAGGAGAGGAGGACAGGGAGAGGAGGAGGAGGAAGACAGGGAGAGGAAGAGGCAGAGGAGGACAGGGAGAGGAGGACAGGGAGAGGAGGAGGAGGAAGAAGACAGGGAGAAGAGCATAGGGAGAGGAGGAGGAGGAAGACAGGGAGAGGAAGAAGAGGAGGACAGGGAGAGGAGGAGAAGGACAAGGAGAGGAGAAGAAGAACAGGGAGAGAAGGAGGAGGAAGACAGGGAGAGGGAGAGGAAGAGGAGGAGAACAGGGAGAGGAGGAGGAAGACACAGAGAAGAAGAGGCGGAGGAGGACAGGGAGAGGAGCACAGGGTAAGGAGGAGGAGGAGGAAGACAGGGAGAGGAAGAGGAGGAGAACAGGGAGAGGAGGAGAAGGACAGGGAGAAGAGGAGGAGGAAGAGGAGGACAGGGAGAGGAGGAGAAGGAGGTGGTAAAGAAGGTGGAGGACCGCCAATGGTGGTTGCTGCTTGAGTGAAGGAAATGAAGAAAGAGTTGCTTATCACACTTTAAACAATCAATAAAGCAACACCCATATTTCCTGGGGCGGTAGGCACATAGACACACTCCTTCCTGATGTATTCTTTTCATTCATCTATCAGTTCTCTTAACTCCAAGACTGTTCCTCCTGGACTGAACTTCTAAGCTGATTGTGAACATTAACTATATTTTGAACTGTGAAGTTCCATATTTCTGTTATGGTTTTTCTTAGTTTGAGATACAAGCATAGAATTGCACCATGATTGTTAAGGGTCTATAAATCTAAAAAGACTAATGAGGAAAGATATATATATTTCCGAAGGTGTTAGGATTCTTCTTCAGCAGGAACGGCCCTTTTAAAGAGGAAACAAGTGTGGTAAAAATGAGAGGTCACAAAATACTTACAGGTAGATCAAAACTAACTTTAGATCAGAACTGAAGATTGGCAAGAAAGCTAAAACTGAGAATGATCTGGGATGAGATGTAATAAGAAGAACTTATTTCAATACGTTCAAAAAAAAAAAGGAAGAAAGAAAATCAATATGCCAGAGGCTCAATAAACACAGAATATTACAATACTAACAGAGAAAAAGTCAGCTCCTAAATCTTCTCCAACAAGTGGAAATGTGTTTTATTAGGGAATCGGGTAAAACAAGACAAAGGGGTTGGATTAAAACTTGCAGAGGAAAAGAGAAAAGTGACAATATTCTAGAAAATAGCTCTTTACTTTAAATGAGCTAAAATCTCCCATGACACATTGATTGCATCTTAAGATACTTAAAGAACTTGGCAATGACTTGATTTAGCTTTGATGTAATATCTTGAGATACTACAAGGCTAGAAAGTAGGAGACTATCAGTTCAAGTCCTGCCTTAGTTATGAAAGTCAACTGGGTGGCTTTGGGCCAGTCATTTTTCTCTCAGTTCAACCCACTTCACAGGGTTCTTGATGTGAGGAAAATAGGAGAAGGAAGTCCCAAAGATGCTTTATTTTTTCCAACTGGACTTTCTTGGGTTATTTTCTTTGAAAATATTTCTCTTCTAATCCAAGAAGCTTCTTCAGAACTGGAGAACATCTCTGATAAACTCTCAGCCCACGTCTTACAGTCTAGAGCAGGGGTCTTCAAACTTGGCCCTTTTATGACTTGTGGACTTCAACTCCCAGAATTCCTCAGCCAGGCATGCATGTTTGAAGACCCCTGGTCTAGAGGAAAAGATAAGTTATGCTGCAAGTGATGGAAACATACAGGTTTTAGCAAAACATCGTAAAATAAAATATACTATTTCTTTCCCGTTGCAGACATCCAGTAGAAACGGCAATGGCAAAAACAAAAATGATGAAATGTGTGTTGCAATGTCTTGGCACTGAACACCAGGGTATGCAGTACAGAGTTTGTATCATGATGTCACCGGGTATGTTTCTTCACCATCCGTGGTAGATGCCCGTTTCTTGATTCTTTCCTGAACACGAAGCTTTTCGCCCCCCCAAAAAAACCCCCCTCAATTCTGAATCCTTTCTCCCTCGCTGGAAGTAACTGTGTACACATCAAAACATATTTAACAATAAAAGCAGACATTTGCACAGTTGAATAAGGTGATGGTTTGCTACAGCAAAAGCAGACACACAATTCCTGAAGAGTTGGCTACCTTGAAACAACCGAGTGAAATCTGGAAGGTTTGTGAAATTCAAGACAAAAGCAGAGGAAGACAATCCGTTGATGGCAACTTGGAAGCTGCTTCACAATTACAAAATAGAACATCTCAGTGGAACATATGCAGAAGCATCTAACACCTCTGTCTTTCAGCAAAGGCACATTTTTATCCCTCACAGTTATCATGCTGGTTGTCTTCCTTCCAAACCGTACTTAATACTCATCGCGCCAAGTCCTTCATTCTTGATGTCAAATTTGAGAAGGCACGTGGCTCTCTCCCAATTAGCATCTTCTATGTGACTCAGCATCTAGAGCAGGGGCCTTCAAACGTGGCCCTTTTATGACTTGTGGACTTCAACTCCCAGAATTCCTCAGCCAGCATGCCTAGCTGAGGAATTCTGGGAGTTGAAGTCCACGTTTGAAGGCCCCTGCTCTAGAGGGCATATCAGAGTTTTCCAAATGCTTCCCAACTTTTTCCTAACAATAGCAGTAGCAATTAGGCTTATCTACTGCTTCACAGTGCTTTACAGCCCTCTCTGAGCGGTTTACAGAATCAGCATCTTGCCCCCCAACAATCTGGGTCCTCATTTTACTGACTTCGGAAGGATGGAAGGCTCAGTCAACCTTGAGTCAGTCAGGATCAAACTGTTGGCAGTGGGCAGAGTCAGCCTGCAATACTGCATTCTAACTACTGCGCCACCATGACAACCTTTATAACAGGCCACTAGAATGAAGTGAGAAAGCAGACTTGTGGTCTGGATCTAAAAGTTGTCCGTTTTGGATCTGGGGGTTTTATTCTTTTAATCAAAGGCTGTATTTGATGTCTGAGTGGCACCTTAGAGTCTACACCCCAAAAAGTAATGGACTTGACTGTCTTGCTTAGCAATGGAATTTTTGGGCTCAGTTGTGGTCCTAAATCAAGGACTACCTATATATGATTCTGAGCCAGAGGATTTGCATCTGATTTTAAATGCCCTTAAGGAGATATTCAAAACAGCAATTCAACACGACCATTCATATGTCAGGAAAACAGATAATCACCAAGAGGCCCTGAATCAGATCTAACGCTACTTATCCAATTATTATAATTGCGTAATTTTAATTGCTGGAAATGTTCGCAGTTCTGTTGGTTTTAAAAAAAATATTTTAAAACGGGCAATGCCGACATTTACTTACCTATCTTGTGTTAATGGCAGAACCACAGTTGCTTGCATGGAAAACACTATGAAGGATATTCTCATCCGAGGGCTTTTAAAGATAAGAAAGAAAAACATTAACCTCAGACATATAAGCCAGAACATTTCAAGGATTCTTTAATTTCTTCAATGACAGCTGAACACACAGAGAACTATGTAATATCCAGCATATAACATGTTGGTCGCCAATTGTATATTTCACCTAAGAGCTTTATCCTGAAAACAGAATAAACACTGTTAGATTTGGTGCTACTCTCTAAGCTTGGTTGTTTGCTTGCAGACATTTCATTAGTCAACTGATGATGTTACCTAGTTGGGTAGTGAAATGTCTGTAAGTAACCAGCTCAGAGAACACAGAAGCTGCACAATTCAGTCCTCAGTTACAGATATTCTCTTATATTGGATCTGCTTGATTTTGCTCAATTCACATTCTGGATCAAACAAACCATAGTTCTCAGTAATCCAGCTGTTGTTTTCCCTTTTGAGAGTTTAGACCATTGTGTTTGTGTCTATTCAGTTTTGGCCCATAGAAGAAATTATGGGACAAATCAAAGCACTAAAATTGCTTTTTTGACTGCAGTCCATTGGTAGGAAATGATGAGGTATAATCTGCACATTTGAGACAAAAAACTGGAATGAAAGTGTTTTCCACTCAAAGGCCAAACTGAACAGGCTCCAATCCTTATAACAATGTCCAAAACAAAGTTGTCCATGATTGTAAAACCTGAGGGGATATTAGAACATAGAATAATAGAGTTGGAAGGGATTTTGGAGGTCTTCTAGTCCAACTCCCTGATCAAGCAGGAGACCCTATACCATTTCAGACAAATGGTGGTCTAATCTCTTCTTGAAAACCTCCAGAAATGAAACATCCACAACTTCCTGAGGCAAACCATTCCACTGATTAATTGTCCTCGCTGTCAGGAAATTTCTCCTTAGTTCTAGATTGGGTCTCTTTTTAATGATCTTCCACTCATTACTTCTTGTCCTGCTCTCAGATGTTTTGGAGAAAAATGTTGACTTTTCTCTGTAACAGCCCCTCAAGTACTGGAAGGGGGTTATCATATCACCCCCAATTCTTCTTTTCATTAAGACTATACATACCTAGTTCCCACAATCATTCATCATATGGGTTTAGCCTCCAGTCCTTATCATGTTTGTTATTGTTCTCTGTGCTCTTTCTAGGATCTCAACATCTTTGGGTATCATAGTGACCAGAACTGGACACAGTATTACAAACGTGGCCTCACTAGTGCTGATCTTTGATCTCTTGAAATCCTATTCAACATAAAGCCATTCATTTAGTGACCGTTTGAAGTTACAACAGCACTCAAAAAAGTGATTTACAACTGGTCCTCACAATTACAAGTGCTGCAGCATCCCAATGGAGTGGAGTGGAGTGGAGTGGAGTGGAGTGGAGTGGAGTGGAGTAGAGTGGAGTAGAGTAGCGTAGCGTAGCGTAGCGTAGCGTAGCGTAGCGTAGCATAGCGTAGCATAGCATAGCATAGCATAGCATAGCATAGCATAGCATAGCATAGCATAGAATAGAATAGAATAGAATAGAATAGAATAGAATAGAATAGAATAAGAGTTGGAAGGGACCTTGGAGGTCTTCTAGTCCAACTCCCTGCTGTGTAATCCCTATGATTACACAGTCAAAATTCAGTCCCTTGGCAACCAACATGTACTTATGACAGTTGCAGCATCCTGGGATCATGTGATCACCATTTGTGACCTTCCCAGCCAGCTTCCCACAAGCAAGGTGAGTGGGAAGCCAGATTCCCTTAACCACCTCAGTGATCCACTTAACAACCATGGCTAACAAAGTTGTTAAGTGAATCATAATTGTAAAGATTGTGGGACTTGAGGGGGACTCATTTAACAACCACCTAGCTTAACAACAGAAATTCTGGTCTCAGTTATGGTTGTTAAGTCGGGGACAACTTATATATTGTTTCCCCTTGTGTAAAACACAAATAAATACATTCGGCAGAGATATAATAATAATAATTTTTATTTTGCAGTCACAGACCAAAATACAAGTGCAACAAAAGAAAACACAAGAAAAATATAATCACAAAAATTAACACCAGAAGCCTTGGCTAAGGGGAATTACAACGTTCTCCTCTAATAGTTACAGCTCTTAAAAGAAATTTAGAAACCTGAGAAGTAATATAGGAGGAGCCATCCCCTAGACAATATAAAACCAAATTACTAACATTAGAACCAGAGGGATCAATTCCAAGGAGAGGCAATAGTTTAATTATGGCTGTATTATACATGGGGCAGTATAATAAGACATGCTCCACAGTTTCAACTTCAGCCCTATCACAGGGGCATAATCGCTCACTAAACGGGAGCCTCTTGAATCGCCCGTCGAGTAGTGCTGAGAGCAAGACATTGAAACGGGCTAGGGAAAAGACTCTTCTATACTTGGGGATGGTTAGAGTATAGAAATAAAAGGCCATCCTCAATCCATAATTATTAGAATGGCTAAAGATCAAAGGGGAGCAGGTTTTGTTGGCTCTGGCTCTTAAGTATTGCAAATTTATGTCCACAAGCCGTTGGACTATCCTAAACTGGGTGTCCTTGAGACCATAATTTCCCAGAGCATCCTTCGTAAAACCTAACAAGTGGAGTTTCTTCGTCAGCTCCCTCTCCCAACGAGAAGTATGAGAGTCAGTAAAGGCAGAGATATATTTTTCCTAGAAATTGTGAAGGATCACCTCAGAGCTGCCTTTGTACAATGCATATGTCCTACAATTTGCATGAGGGCGTAGGGTCATGTTACAGTGCAGGAAGGTCCAGAAAGACCACATCAAGCATCTTGTCATGAAATATGAAGCAGAGACCATTATCACACAAAGCGGGCTGTTTTGTGTCCGCTGGTTATTATTTAATCTGAGGGAGCCATCTCAAGCATTTTCCTCAGTAGATTTTTCTTTGTCTAAAGATAGACCACATCATTGCCGAATCCTTTTTTTTTTTAAAACCCTTTTGTATGTTTGACTTTTTTTTTTTAATCCCACCATCAAGGAATTCCATTCTGGGAGAAATTCATAAGCATACGTTCCCATTGTTTTTTAAATATCCTCACTGCAGGTTTGAAGCTCTTAAAAAGAAATCAAACGTGTGTTATGTTGTAACTTCAGGCCTTCGCCGTTCAGGCCCAGAAAAAAAAAAATGGAGAACAGATGTACAACTCGTACTGGAGTGATCTAATTCTTATAATGAAACCTGCTCAGAATTTTCACCATATGCTGCACCGAACAGCATTTGTCAACCATGGAACAGTCTCCTTTTCCCTTAAGAGAGAAAAGGAGTGGAGGGACAACGAAAAGAAGCCTCTAAAAGCTGTTAAGAATTATTCAACCAATGATTTCACCAATTCGTTTTTGTTCCAGTCAGTTTAGAAATGAAAGGGTGGAGTTCTTGTCAAAATGAAGAGTGACCAAAAGGCTTAGGAATGGGCAATCAGATCATTTTTGGAAGGAATAAACATCTCTACTGCCAGTAACTGAAATTCCAGATCCCATGGCTTCTACCAATTACTCTTTTTATTAACTTACATTATCCCAGGAAAGAGAATCCAATCAGATTTCTTTCCCTATTCTATAGAGGCCTTGTCTTCTGCCCTATGAAGATGGATGCGCTGCAATTAAGATTCCTATTCCTCATGATTTTACGCTAGCTGGTCAAACACAATTGCCTAACTGTACTGTATTTTCCATAGGAAACAATTAAGTGCAGTAATGTCTATGCAATTGCTTCCAAGACTCAAAGGATCCCGTGTTTAGCAAGACTTAAGTGTAGTCTATACTTTTAAAATAATCAATTTTTGTCTGAGTAGCACAAAAGATCAAAATCATGCTGCCAAAATAAGGCAGATGTTGCATACATCTCTGTAACATCCTTGGGAAGACGTCAGAAAAATATAGAAAACAATAAATGCTTGGTGTCCAACAGCTGCTTTCCTGAAAATGTATGAAAAAGTGTGATTGTATAGTGAAAAAGAGAAGAAAAAGCAGGAAGGAAGACTAAGAAACCAAAAATCTATTTCCTGTTTTTGTTCTCCTTTTTTCACCACAAGACTGATTTAAAACAACTCATGTTTACATTCTGATAAATATTTTTTTTAATCTTAATATATTTTTAACCTCTTCCTGCCCCTCCAATTTCTTTTTGCACAGTGCCAGTTATTTTGGTCAGAATGGTATTTGATATCCTATAATGCAGGCTCAAATTCCACTCTTACTGGACATTTCTATAGATATTCTTAGTAAGTGTTGGAAATCTGATCTAAACAGATTCCAACTCTTTTTTCAACTTGACCAACAATATATACATTCTTATGTTGTTAAGAACAAGCCAGGCCCAGTTTCAAACTCATTTGCAATCTATGAAATTATTCATAGTCTCCAGGGAAAACAGAAAATTAGAGAAAATAGTTACCAGAAAAAAAAGGAAACATAGTTCTTTCTAACTCATTCGACAACTTACCTCACAAATCTTTCTGTTAGCTGCTTCACAAATTCAACAATTTCTGACCAGTGTGTTGTTACGCTCCCTGATCTACAAAAAAAAAAAAAAAAAAAATCCAAAAGTTCATTAAGTGGCAATAAACAGTCAGATTTCTTAAAATAGTTCCTTGAAACACTCTTTTCAAGTTTGATCCAGACTTTCCTGCTATAGGTAGTCCCTGAGTTACGATTGGTCACATAATGAGGGCCTGAAGTTACAACAGTCCTCACCAGGATACTTACAACCTGGATTCAAAGTTCCAGCACACACACACACACCAACTCACACACACACACCTTGAGGACACATGATCACATTTTGGATGCTCAGCAACCAGCCAACATTCACAACTGTTTATAGCATCCTGTGGTTACATTACCACAATTTACAACTCTTTTGCTAGAAACTGGTGTTGATTTCTGGTTTCTGACACAAAACCCCCATTGCAGACAACGGATTTACTTAACAACTGCTACATTCCTTTAACAACCACAATATTCATTTAATGACCACATTGATCCTTTAAAGACTGCTGCAAAAAAAGTCATAAAATCAGGCACGATCACATAGTGACCTGCTTAATGACCAGCATGAATTACAACTGTAATTTCAGGTCCAATTATGGTTGTAAGTCAAGAACTACCTACGTTATTATATTATCTAATTGTACTATTTAGAGGCGTATGTTAGTCCTCAGTTGAAAGTGATTGGTAACCATCAAATAACTATATTAATATTTGAAGTAATAAATGAACACCTCCCCAAAGGAAAACGAAATTACAGTTACAGTATCAGAACCCTACTGAATTCAGAGCGTCATCACTTATGATCCTAGGTCAAGCTGGACATCAGCAACCTGTGGTTTTATGCAGAGATGGGTCTTGTGGCCAGAGCTTTGTAATTACTGATCTAGATGATGGAATTAATGAGCTGCTTAATAAAATGTTATGATGACACAAGACTGAGAGGTTTGGTCAACACTTGGAAGACGGAACTGGGAGGAACAAGACAGGGAGAAATATGGCATTACATTAGCAAGAAAGGAATGCAGAAGACCCATACAAAATGGGGGTTTGTGACTTGGAAGCATCTAAGATGGACTTCAGTTGAGTCACCGGCAACAAGCTGAATTTGAGTTAGTAACGTGGGACAGGCTTAACCTAGTTATGAGCCATATCCAAAACAGTATTATATCAAAGATGCAAGAAGACATGATTTATCAGTAGTTCTCGACTTACAACAGTTCACTTAGTGACTGTTCAAAGTTACAACAGCACTGAAAAAGTGACTTATGACCGTTTTTCACACTTACGACCATTGCAGCTTCCCCATGGTCACATGATTTACATTCAAATGCTTGACAACTGACTCACATTTATGACGGTTGTAGCGTTCCAGGGTCATTGTGATCCCCTTCTGCGACCTTCTGATTAGCACAATCAATGGGTAAATGATGTCGGTTCCCCCCCCTCTGTTGAGAAAGGGCTGTTCAATTTTGAAAGAGGGGTCAAAGAGGCCATCTGTGTCAAAACTGAACAGCCCTCCCTCAACAGAGGGGGGGGGGAATACGACACCAACTATTTCTATTCTACAACACAGTCCTTTTAGCAGTTCCAAAAAGGCTCCACACCCATTTGCACTACTCGGGTGACCCTGGAGACACAGCTAAGCCTCCAGGTAGCTTTGCTAAAAGAATCCAAATGAACAGCTTTGTGCAAGGAGACTAAATCCTTCCATTCCCCTACCATCCAATCAGAGCTGAAGAAGCTTCTTGGATGAGAAGCGAAACATCTTCTAAGAAAAACAAGAAAGTTCAGCTGTCTTGTGAAAAAGCATCTTTGGGATAACTGCAGTGATTCGCTTAACAAATGTGGCATGAAAAGTCGTAAAATGGGGCAAAACTCACTTAATAAATTTCTCACTTAGCAATATAAATTTGGGGCTCAATTGTGGTCATCAGTTGAGCACTACCTGTATTTGGCACAGGTAAAATCGTACCTTATTTGGGGCACTGCTTTTTCAGAAGAATATTGACCGATTAAAGAGGCTGCAGAGTAAGACAATAAAGTTTAGGATTACAGTGCAAATTGAAAAAACTTGGGATTCTGAAGGAAAGAAAAGGCAAGGGGACAGGACAGCCATGTTCAGGTACATAAAGAGAAGCTATAAGGAGTGTGGTCAAGAACTTTTTCTCCATGCCCACAAAAAACAGGACCCAAAATAATGGGTATAAATTATACTCACCTAAATTTTGTTTAAATCAGGGATGTTCAACCTTGGCAACTTTAAGACGTCCTCAGCCAGCATGGCTGGCTGGGGAATGAGGAATTCTGGGAGTTGAAGTGGCTGGTTGGGGAATTCTGGGAGTTGAAGTCCATAGGCCTCAAATTTGCCAAGGTTGGACACTCCTGGTTTAAATGGAAAACTTTCTGATGGTAAAGTTTATACAACAATGGATCAATGGATGTTGGGTTCTCCATCTTTAAAGATTTTTAAGAAGAAGCTGGATAAGGATGGTTTGATTCGTCTTCCTGAGTATTGCAGGGGGATGGTCTATATCAGTGGTGGCGAACCTATGGCACGGGTGCCAGAGGCGGCACTCGGAGCCCTTTCTGTGGGCACACGTGCCATTGCCCCAGTCTTGCCTCCCCCCGTGACCCCCTCCTCTCCAACAGCCCCCCTGAAGGAGACTCGCCCTCGAGCGTGGCCCACACGGAGCAGCGCAGCCAAGGACATGGCAGCCAGACAGCATAGACAAGACTCTGTCCTCACACCCCATCATGCAGTTGATGCTGTAGGGCGCGGGCAGAGTGTGTGGCCGCCATAGCGCTGCTGGGCTGCCTGTGCGATCTGCGTGGGCCCTGGAGGCGGTGAGTGATCCTGTGGGCAGGCGGGATGGGGGATGGGGGGCAGAGCGGGGTGGGAAGGGGGGTGGAGTGGGGCGGGGCCAGTTTTTGGGCACTCGGTCTCTAAAAGGTTCGCCATCACTGGTCTATATATTCATCATCCTTTCCAACTCTATAATTCTACCATTTTAAAGTGTCGTTAGGGAACTGATGATGCCTCACCCTGAACCAAATCAATCCCAGCGGTTTCATGTGGATGTTAAAAAGAAAGTGTGACATAAAGCTGAAAAAAAAACCATAAGGAAGAATTCCCCAGTCTGATTCCCCTCCCCCTAAAATGATTGACACCTCTTGCTTTGAAAAGAATGGGGCTATTGAAAATAGTGCCTCTAATTCTTGCAATGGCTTAGAAAGATATTATAATTAAGGGTATTGAACAGCGTGGAGAAATGAAGTAAAACCAAGAGGAGTGTACTCCTTCTACCAATTTCCCACAAAGGTCACCCACAAAAACCAGCAATACTATTTCTGTTCCATGCCCAGACCGAATGCTGATATTAAACGGAAAGGGACAATTCACCACAACCAATTCACCATGGGATAATTCACGGCCAATTCACAGTGGGACAACTTGCCACGGGACAATTTCATTTAAAACAATTAAAAATTGTTTTCATTTTTGTCGTTCACATTTCATTTTCTCCCTCCTTTGGCATTCTTTCTTTAATGATTCCGTTTCACCATTTCTTCAAAATTATGTCACTTTCGTTGCACAGCAAGATGTCCCCCGACGAGTTGGCCAGGGCGAATTGTCCCATGGCAGGTTGGCTGTAGCAAGTTGCCCACGGCGATGCGATGAGATGGCCCTGGAAAATTGTCCTAGGTCAGGGGTAGGCAGCCTTGGCTCTTTTATGACTCGTGGACTTCAACTCCCAGAATTCCTGAACCAGCCATGCTGAGGAGAAAGGGAGAGTTTCCAAGCTGAGCCATGCTGGCTCAGGAATTCTGGGAGTCCACAAGTCATAAAAAGCCAAGGTTGCCTACCCATCCCAGACCCAATTTTAAAAGTGTATTTAAAAGGACTCAGCTAATCTCGTCTTCTATGACATTCTGTAACTGAATTCCCACCATCTCCCAATATGCTTTCCTAAAAAGGGAAGGTTAGAAGCAGGCAGACAGATATCCAAAATAGGTGAATTCAAAGAACAGGGCACAATGACTCCTACAACGGAACCAACATGTCCTTGTCCACCAAAGAGGCATTAAGAGAAAGAGAGGAAAGCCAGTTTGGTATAGTGGTTAAGACACCAGACTAGAAAGAGGGAGAGTATGAGTTCTAAAAGATGTTGAGATCTTGGAAAAAGTTCGGAAAAGAGCAACTAAAATGATCCAAGACACGGAGACTAAAACATACGAAGAATGGCTGCGTGACTTGGGTTTGGCTAGTCTAAAGAAAAGAAGAAATAGGGGAGACATGATAACAGTATTCCAATATTTGAGAGGCTGCCACAAAGAAGAGGGGGTCAAGTTATTCTCCAAAGCACCAGAGGGCAGGGCAAGAAACAATGGTTGGAAACTGACCAAAGAGAGAAGCAACCTGGAATTAAGGAGAAAGTTCCTAACAGTGAGGACAATTAACCAGTGGAACAGCTTGCCATCAGAAATCGTGGGCGCTCCATCACTGGAGGTTTTTAAGAAGAGACTGAACAGACACTTGTCTAAGATGGTATATAATTTCTCCTGCTTGAGCGGGGGGTTGGTCTAGAAGACCTCCAAGGTCCCTTCCAGATCTATTCTATTCTATTCTCTCTCTCAGCTGTGCCTACCTCACAGGGTTGTTGTTGTGGAGGAAACAGGAAGAGGAAGATGTGTTGGATATTTTCAACACCTTCAATTACATGTAAAAACAATAAAGGCAGGATGCAAATAAATAAATAAATATCCCCTTCCCATCTTCCCGTGGGCTAACCAAAGAACTGGGAAGGGCGTGGACCTAAATCACAAATGGTAGGGTTTATGCTAGAAAATTCCTTATTCACTTCAATTGAATCCACAAAACAAAATAAATTCCTGTTTACATTACAAGTCACCTTATCACAGTACCGTACATGTACAAGCAATGGGTGTTCACATAGTATATTTCTCTCACTTGTTTCATTATTATTTGGGCTGATATTCAAGATCCTCCTTTGGCAAGGCAAACATCAGCTAAAAATACCTGCAACCACTTTCAAACTTACAAGTGATCGAAGATGAAAACTGTCGACAACTATTGTTATCTCACTAAGGGACAAAACAGTGATGTTGCCAAAAAGGACTATGGTCTCTATGTATCTTGTGTGCTTGCTGCCTTTTTTAAGATAAGAAAAATCTTTCTTTTAGAATCAGAGCTCTCTGTATGTGCTGGAGATCAAAGAGAATCAGAGACTGGAAAGCAAGTCAGCCCTTTGCAGGATTGGGTAATAATAATAATGATGATGATGATGATGATGACAATGACGATGATGACAACGATAATCTGGACAGTGGATATGGATTGCCTGGAGACAGCAGAAGAGAAAGAACTGGAGAAGATAACAAAATACGAAGACCTACAAATAGAAATAGAATGACTATGGCAAAGGCAAGCAAGGGTAGTACCAATAGTAATAGGCACCTTGGGTGCAATCCCAAAACAAATGGAGCACCACTTGAACACCATTGGCATTGACAAATTTGCCATTAGTCAATTGCAAAAGGCTGCCTTACTAGGAACTGCTTCCATCCTGCAACGATATCTGTAATACCATCTAATCAAACATCCACATCTTGGTAAGGACTCGATAGGTAGACAAAAATGCCAAATCCAATCTGAACATCTGACTGTGCGATGATCAATAATGATGATGATGATGATGATGATGTTGATGATGATGATGATGGAAGGGACCTTGGAGGTCTTCTAGTCCAACCCACTGCTCAGGCAGGAAACCCTATATCATTTCAGACAAATGTTTGTCCAGCCTCTTCTTAAAAACTTCCAGTGTTGGAGCATTCACAACTTCTGGAGGCAGGTTGTTCCACTAGTTAGTTGTTCTAAGTGCTAGGAAATTTCTCCTTAGTTCTAGGTTGCTTCTCTCCTTGATTAGTTTCCATCCATATTTAAAGAGAGAATATCCACATGAGGCTGTCAGATGGTTTTATCAAGATAGTCCTTGAGATACAGAGAGTCCTCGACTTACAATCATTCATTTAGTTACCATTCAAAGTTACAAAAGCACTGAAAAAAGTGACTTATTACCGTTTTTCACACTGAGGAAAGGGCGAAAAGTTGCAGTTTCCCCATGGTCATGTGATCAAAATTTGGATGCTTGGTGACTGGCTCTTATTTATGACAGTTTCACTGACCTAGGGTCATGTGATCCTCTTTTGGGACCTTCTGACCAGCAAAGTCAGTAGGGAAGCCAGACTCACTTAACAACTGTGTTACTAACTCAACAAAGCAGTGGTTCCCTTAACAACCGTGGCAAGAAAGGTCGTAAAATGGGGCAAAACTCACTTAACAAATGTCTCGCTTAGCCACGGAAATTTTAGGCACAATTGTGGTTGCACGTCAAGGACTATCTGTACGCCACAGAGATACTGAGTGAAGTTCACTATTGGGTTAATATAGCCCCACTCTGGCACTGGAGACAGAATTTTTGGAAGCTGCTTGTGCAATTTTTTTTTTTTATTGCTGTTCTTTGGGCAACATTTCGTTAGAGAAAATACAACTGCTTAGCTAACTTTTTTCCTTGAAAGGCATCTCACTGTAAAGCACTATATTTGCCCTTTATGAAATCTCTTGTTTTACTACACACCCTTGAGCACCTAATTCCCATGCGTTGCTTTTATAACTCTCCTGATATACCAGCTCTTTCTTCCATATAATACAGCTAAGTGGGCACGTTTTAAAGGGCATTTTTGTTTTGTTTCTTTCAACAGACATTTTTTTTCCTCGCATAAAAAGTCATAAAAAGTCTCTATACATTAGTAGCCAAAATTGTGGAAACCTTTTGGGAAAAGTGTATTTTTGAGATTTGATGGCTAATGACACCACTTTTCTTTGGAGTAGTACCATAAAACTATATATCAAAGGAAAGATAATTTAACCAAGAATGTAATGCAACAAAGTTTGTTCAATTATCTGTACTGTATTCTATGAAATGTTATAGCCAAAGAACCAGAAAAAGGAAGCACAATTTGCTTAGGCTGATATCAGGCAGCTTTCCTTCCTCTGATTGTAGCCAATGAGCATGAGTATTTAGAGAGCCAATCAGGTGTCATCTTGTTTTGGCAATGAGCCAATCAGATCACAGTAGAGTTCAATTATAGATGTCATGTATTGAAGCTGAGAGGAGGACATTGGTCATGTGGTTATGTGATTGCTGTCAAGTTGGTTGGGTTTTTTTGTGTTCTTTCATTTAGTAAGCTTGTAAAATGTAATAAAATTAAAGTAATGGTGCAAAGAGTTGACTGGTTGCCCAGAAAGCAATGTAAAATAGTATTATTAAGTGAAGAAGGCTACAATTATAAAGAAATTAGAAGAAAAATGGGTGGAAACTTAACCAAAGATGGCATTTCTACTGTACACTTTTCCCAAAAGGTTTCCACAATTTTGGCCACTACTGTACGTATCCCAGGATAATGTTGTAGGATCCAATCTGGCCACTACTGTATTTCTGTCTTTAACACACAACATACCACATCGACTTTAGCTTCCCACCATGATTGCAGCAATTGCAATCATCCAATCCACATTCCCTGTTCAATGTGCCCATCTTGGTCTCTGATACACTAATTTTTGTATACATATACAGCCTTGCATCATACAGATAGTCCTTGACTTATGACCGCAACTGGGATGAAAATTTCCATTGCTAAGCCAGGCAGTTGTTAAGTGAGTCGCATTCAGTTTCAAAACCTTTTTGCCACTGTTGTTAAGCAGATCACGGCAGTGATTATATGAATCATCCATTCATTAGGGAAATTTGGCTTCCCTTATAGCCTTTGCTTGTTGGGAACTGGCTAGGAAAGTTGCAAACAGCAATCGCATGACTTTGGGATGCTGCAACTCTCATAAACACCTGTCATTTGCCGAGCACCTGAATTTTGATCACGTATCCATGGGGATACTACAGTCGTCATAAGTGCGAGACCAGTCATAAGTCATTTTTTCCCACTACTGTAACTTTGAACAGTGGCTAAATGAATGGTTGTAAGTCAAGGATGATACCACTCTAATGGCAGAAAGTGAAGAGGAATTAAAGAGCCTCTTGATGCGGGTGAAGAAGGAGAGTGCAGAAGTTGGCTTGAAACTCAACATTAAGAAAACCAAGATCATGGCATCCGGCCCTCTCAATCCCTGAGAAATAGATGGGAAAGAAATGGAGGTAGTGACAGATTTTATCTTCCTGGGCTCCAAGATCACCACAGATGGGGAAATTAAAAGACGCTTGCTCCTGGGGAGGAAAGCTATGGCAAATCTAGACAGCATACTAAAAAGCAGAGACATCACCCTGCCAACAAAAGTGCGTATAGTCCAGGCCATGGTTTTCCCAGTTGCAATGTACAGCTGTGAAAGTTGGACCATAAGAAAGGCTGAGCACAAAAGAATTGAGGCCTTTGAACTATGGTGCTGGAGAAGACTCCTGCAAGTCCCTTGGACTGCAAGGTGATCAAACCGGTCAGTCCTAGAGGAGATCAACCCTGACTGCTCTTTAGAAGGCCAGATCCTGAAGTTGAAACTCAAATACTTTGGCCACCTAATGAGAAGGAAGGACTCCCTGGAGAAGTGCCTAATGCGGGGAAAGATTGAGGGCAAGAGAAGAATGGGACGACAGAGAATGAGGTGGCTGGATGGAGTCACTGAAGCAGTAGGCGTGAGCTTAAATGGACTCCAGAAGATGGTAGAGGACAGGAAGGCTTGGAGGAATGTTATTCATGGGGTCGCGATGGGTTGGACACAACTTCGCAACTAACAACAACAAAGTCAAGGACTATCTGTACATCCTACCAAACAGCCTCTGTCAAATCACTCAAGTTCTTATTCGCTGCATATAAAAGAACAAGCACAATCACATCCCAATTAAGAGACCTCTTCTCTCTTCTCAAGGACTTGTCTACATAATAATCACATTAAGGAACAAAGGGAACATCCCAACCGCCCCTCTTACATCCACTATGCCTGTTGACAAAGCATGTCATTTACACAGGCTTCATCTCTATCAGATACTGCTCTTCTCTCCTTCAGCAACTAGCTTTCCAGCTCCGTATTCTTGCAAATTCAAGTCTTTTCCCCTGACTCTTTGACTTACAACAGTTTGTTTAGTGATTGTTCAAAGTTACAACGGCTCTGAAAAAAATGTGACTTACGACCGCTGCTCAGTTACGTCTTTTGCAGCATCCTCCACAATCACATGGTTAAAATTCAGATTCTTGGAAAACCGGTTCATATTTATGACCGTTGTGGTGTCCCAGGGTCACGTCATGTTTCCCTTTTGCAAACTTCTGACCCGCAAAAAAAATCAGTGGGGAAGCCAGATTCGCTTAACAACCAGGGGGTAACTAACTTGTCAACTGCAGGGGGGTTCACTGAACCACTGGGTCAAGAAAGGTCGTAAAATGTGGGCAAAGCTCGCTTAACACACGCCTCACTTAACCGCAGAAACGTTGGGCTCGATTGCGGTCGTAAGTGGAGGACCAGCTCGACTTCGCTGCAAGGAAACTTTCTCCTCCTCCCTTCCACGCCAAGCACAACCGGAGCGCTGCAAACTTTTCTTTTACCCTTCGCGCTTGAACAACACAAACACGCTTTAGAATTGTGCCTCTTCTCAAGTAGAAGTTCGGGGAGTGCATAAAAGGGGGGCATGCAGAGTCTTCCCTGGAACAGCTGCAACACACACACACACACACACACACACACACACACACACACACACACACACACACACAAAACACCGGGCCCCAAGGCCGTTTCCAAACGACCCGTGCCCGGGAAATCTTGCACGGGGGGGGGGGGAGTGGATTTGTTTTCTCTCTCTCCCACCGAATTGCCAAGCGTGTGTCACAAGATCGCAGCGGAGTAAAACGGTGCAATCCTCTCTCCACAGAGAGAGAGAGAAGGGGGACCCCGGACTCCCGCCAACGCATCCTCCTCGCTCCCCGCTTTTCCACTCACTTGTCCAGCACGAAGTAGAGGTCGAAAGCGGACCCGCAGGACGGCTCCTCTTCAGCGAGAGTCCGAGGCCGCGGGAGGAGGAGAAGAACGAGCAGAGCGCAAAGCAGCGCGGTCCGGCCCAGCCGATCCATGGAGCCACCGCCGCCGATCTCCGGCCGAGGGTCTTTGCTACAAAGCGGCAGGGAAAGGCGCCTTCGGCGGCCGAGCGAGCGGAGGCGGAGGGCCGCGAACCTCCGTTGGCAACTCCTTCCGACGATCGGGGTTGGGGGGGGGGGTGGAAGGACTGTAGCTCGGGGCGCTCCGCGTTCCCCCCTTCGCCGGCGCTGCTCTTCCACCAAGTGTCCCCGGCGGGTTAACCTTCTCCAAAAGAAAGAAGGGAGCAACTTCTGCGTTGCTTTGTCCACGCCTTCGGAGGCTGGGCCCTCTCTCTCTTTCCCCTCTCTTCCTTTTTTGTCTCTTGGCAGTTCTGCCCTTTTTGAAGCCCGCGCGCGTTCAACTCGCTTCGCCCTTCCTGACGACCATCTGTTTACAGAGCCGGGCTTCCCAACTTTGCCCTTGGTTTCCTCGCTTGGGAAACCCTGCAGTTCAGCAGGGAGGTTGCCCGTAGAGGTAGTCCTTGCCTTACAACCGCAACTGAGCCCGAATGATCTGTTGCTAAGTGAGACATTTGTTAAGTGAGTTTTTGCAACCATTTTATACCACCCGGCTTGCCGCAGTTGTTAAGTGAACCGCTGCGATTGTGAACCGCTTTTCTCCAGACTAGCCGTACCCAGTTCCTGACACCGTTGTTCGTATGTTAAACGCCTGGAAACTAAAACATACGCCACTGGGTATGGCTAGAGAGCAAAGAAGGACTAGGGCACGGGTCTTCAAACTTGGCCCTTTTATGATTTGTGGACTTCAACTCCCAGAATTCCTCAGCCAGCGTGCCTGGCTGAGGAATTCTGGGAGTTGAAGTCCACAAGTCATAAAAGGGCCAAGCTTGAAGACCCCTGTGTACTAGGGGGACAAGATAGCAGTATTTCAGTATTTGAGGGCCTGCCACAAAGAAGAGGGGGGTCAACTTATTTTTCAAAGCCCAGAGGGCAGGACAAGAAACAATGGATGGAAACTAATCAAGGAGAGAAGCAACCTGGAATTAAGGAGAAACTTCCTAATAATGAGAACAATTAACCAATGGAACGGCTTTGCCTCCAGAAGTTGTGAATGCTCCATCACTGTAGGTTCAAGAAGAGATTGGACAACCACTTCTCTCAAATGGTACAGGGTCTCCTGCTTGAGCAGGGGGTTGGACTAGATGATCTCCAAGGTCCCTCCCTGCTCTGTTCTGATTGATTAAGCTAGTAGTTACAGTAGTAACCAAAACTGTGGAAACCTTTTGGGAAAAGTGTATTTTTGAGATTTAATGGCTAATAACATCATTTTGTTTTTGGAGTAATACCATAAACTTATATATCAAAGGAAAGATAATTTAATCAGGAATGTAATGCAACAAAGGTGGTTCAATTATCTGTACTGTATTCTATAAAAAGTTATAGCCAAAGAACCAGAAAAAGGAAACACAACTTGCTTAGGTTGATATCAGGTAGCTTTCCTTCCTCTGATTGTAACCAATGAGCATGAGTGTTTAGAGAGCCAATCAGGTGTCATCTTGTTTTGGCAATGAGCCAATCAGATCACACTAGTATTCAGTTATTGATGTCATGTATTGAAGCTGAGAGGAGGACATTTGTCAGTGTGTTATGTGATTGCTATCAAATCGGTTAAGTTTTTTTGTGTTCTTTCATTTAGTGAGCTTGTAAAACGTAATAAAATTAAAGTAATGGTGCAAAGAGTTGACTGGTTGCCCAGAAAGCGATGCAAAATAGTATTATTATTTTACAAGGCTACAGTTATAAAGAAATTAGAAGAAAAATTGGTGGTAACTTAACCAAAGGTGGCATTGCTACTGTACACTTTTCCCAATTTTGGCCACTACTGTAAGTGAATCTGGCTTCCCCATTGACTTTGCTAGTCAGAAGTTTGCAAAAGGGCATCATATGACCCCGGGACATTGCAACCGTCATAAATACGAGCCAATTGCCAAGCGTCCGAATTTTGATCATGTGAACATGGGGATGTTGCAAGAGCAGTCATAGGTGTGAAAAATGGTCCTAAGTCACTTTTTACAGTGCCGTTGTAACTTCCAATGGTCACTAAATGAATGCTTGTATATCTGTAATTCAGGGCTGAGGCTCCCTTGCTGGCATGCCCCTTTCCAGAAGGTGTGTGTGTGTGTTGTTGTGGGTTTTCTGCCTTTGTTTCAGTGTGATACCTGAGTCTCACCTAGGAAAGCCTCTCTAGTTTTCTTGGCAATATGTTCAGAAGGGTTTGTCCTTGCCTAACAAGGAGGGACTGCAGAGTCCCAAGTCCAGTGTAAGAACAAATACAATATTAAAACATCCACAGTGCACAAGCTGAATACTGCACAAAGTCATGGTGGCAATAGGGAATCTGTTCCTAAAAGAGTGTTTGCTACCTTAAACCAACACTGGACAACAGTCTGTAGACGCAATAAGGGAGAAGAGACATTTCACCTTCCTGACCACTATGGTGTAAACCAGGTGTGTTTAAACCTGGGCCATTTTAAGACCTGTGGACTTCAATTCCCAGAATTCCCCAGCCAGTTTTGGAGCCCACTGACCTGGATGCAGGTAGCCTTTGACTTACAACCATTTCTTTAGTGACTATTTAAAGTTACAACAGCACTGAAAAAAGTGACTTATGGCCATTTTTCACCCTTATGACTGTTGCAGCATCCCCATGGTCACATGATCAAAATTGTGGCACTTGGCAACTGGAATGTTAATGACAGTTGTATTTTCCTGCAGTCACGTGATCATCATTCATAACCTTCTCAGCTGGCTTCTGACAAGCAGAGTGAATGGGGGAAGCCAGATTTGCTTAACAACCTCAGGGTTCACTTAACAACGGTGGTGTTTTACTTAACTGTGGCAAAAATAGGATGTAAAATGCCGTGCAGCTCAACTGCCTTGCTTAGCAATGGAAATTTTGGACTCAACTCTGATCGTAAGTCAAGGACTATGGGTAGTCCTCAATTGCAACAGTTTATTGACGTTCAAAGTTACAACGGCCCTGAGAAAAGAAAAGAAAAAAGAAAAAAAAACAGTCTCATTATGATAGAATTTGAAGTGGAATTAAATTATGGGAGATTCAAAACAGACTCCAGAAAAGTACAGAAGTCGCACAGTACATAATTACTTTATGGAACTTGCTAGTTAGAATATAGTGGTTGCCTACATTAATAAACACAGTCAATTTTTGCCCCTGATATATGCACATTTTAAAACGGCATTTTTATTTACCCAGAAATTCACCGTCAGCGAAGTACATAACAGAATCAATGTGTCATATCAAGAAATGGCATGGTTCCCATGTGGAGGAAAAATGTCTTCTTTGATGGAAGAAAAGTGATCTGTACATGCAGCAGCTATTCAGAGTTACACAACTTAATCCAATAGGCAGTTTTATTAAATGGATTTTTATATCAGCTCTTGAGTATCAATCGCTTAAATCTGTAATTCATTTAGTATTTCTTATCCCAGTTCCACCTGATTCGTTTGATGGCTACATTATAATACAGGCTGCTTAAAACCTCTATCTACATATCTATGCATCTATCTATCCATCCATCTGTCTATCTCAGCGGTTCTCAACCTATGGGTCGCAACCCCATTTGGGGTCGATCGACCATTTTTCGGGGGTCGCCAAAGAAGGCGATCTGCCATTTTCTCCCCTCAGGGAGCGTCGCTGCGCATGTGCACCGCGCATGGGGCGTCGCCGCGCATGCATGCGCCCGCATGGGGCGGGGCGGCGCATGCATGCGCCTGCATGGGGCGGCGCAGCGCCCCCATGCGCAGAACGTTTGTGTGACTGTCAGTGTTTCTCAACCTTGGCAACTTTACAATGTGTGGACTTCAACTCCAAAAATTCTCCAGCTAGCAACATTACCTGGAGAATTATGGGAATTGAAGTCCACACATTGTAAAGTTGCCAAGGTTGAGAAACACTGACAGTATCATACATACATACAGGGCTTTTTTTTGTCATAGAACACCCAGAATGGTGTTCCGGCACCTTTTTGGGATGGAATCTTGTAGGGTAGGCAAGGCGGATTGTATGACGTGTGTTCCGGCACCTTTTTTTTTTTTTACAAAAAAAGCACTACATACATACATACATACATACATACATACATATATGTCTGTCTACCTGTTTATCTGCTTATTCTTTGACCTGCCCCAAGCTTGCTGAGTTTTAGTGGAGACATTGTCCTCTGTGTTACGTCGTGAACATTTTGCAAATCCATATTTTTAAGTTTTTTGGCTATTCTGGAAAAAGCAGCTTGTCGAAGGGCCTCTTGACAAAATGGCATTCACTTTGGATGGCCAAGCAACTGAAGAACATTCTGACAATCTCAGTTAGCATGGACAATTCAGTTGTGACTTTGACTTGTGATATAGTGACCCAGTGCCCAAGTTCATGAATGCATCATTACAATATAAACAAACTGCAGGCAATACGAAAGTGTTTTGTGGCTGTGAATAAAGCACATGGGAGTGGTGCTGGATATAAAATCTCTGCAGGGGAATTTCACCTCTTCTTCCAAAGTCATTTTCTCAGCTAAAGTTCCCCCTATTCCATGTTAACGACTCTCACTGACTCATTTCCTATGATCAACAGAGTTACAAAATGTGTCTCTGTGCCTGCACCTCTGATACGGGCTTTATAATTTAAGTGATGATTGAAACTGCTCTTCCTTCCCTTTAGCTATATCAGATTTTATTTCTCATTTGCAGATATTTTCTCATCGCAGGTATTGCGGCATTCGTACATTACCAACCCAGCACTATTGTGGCATCATAGCCCGTGGGAGAAAAACCAGTATTTTGAAATCCATTTGGATTAAAAAAAGAAAGATAACTTGAAATTATGATATATACATAAGAAATAACTTGAGCCAGGGCTTTTGAGGTCATCAAACAGTGGTCCTCATACCAGTAGTCCTCAACTTACAACTACAATTGAGCCTGAAATTTCTGTTGCTAAGCGAGACCATTGTTAAGTGAGCTTTGCCCCATTTTATGACCTATCTTGCCACAGTTATTAAGCGAATCGCTGAAATTAAGCTAGTAACATGGTTATTAAGTAAATCTGGCTTCCCCATTGACTTTACTTGTCAAAAGATCACAAAATGATAATCATATGATTCAGGATCCTACAGCCGTCATAAATCCGAGTCAGTTGACAAGTCTCTGAATTTTGATCATGTGACCATGGGGATCCTGCAACTGTCATATGAAAAATGTTCATAAGTCTCTATTTTCAGTGCCATTGTAACTTTGAGCTGTCACTAAATGAATGGTTGTAAGTTGAGGACTACCTGTACTAACCATCTCTAGATATGACTATTGGGTATCCACGGGAAAATGTTGAGATGGCAGCCACAAC